GCAGAACAACCAGCAGCAGCTTGAATCTACAAGTTTACAGTGTTTACGTCCTCATAAATGATCCTAAATATAATACCAGTGGCAATGTGTTAATATCCCACACTCCATCACAGCCAAGCACAATACAAAGTGTATTTTTGTTGAGACTGTGCACTCAAGAAAAATCAGCATCAGTCGTTTCACAATGTGCCCCATATCCACCTTCACTTTCTCACATTAACAACTACGTCTTCCTTTTTGCTTCTAGTGATTTACTAGTCCCAAACCATATTGTAAAAGTATTTTTTAAAATCGCCAAATTTCCCAATTTATTTTTTATACAACTTTATATTTGTGTAAAATTGATCTCCCTATATTATGGTCTAATTATTGTGAAGAAGAATTTTACAAACACATAGAATACAATACGTTTTTAATTGTGTATCACTGAATCCCCTAATTCCCAAAACTGATACTGAGGACATGATCATGTTGTTGTTAATGGCTTGTTTTAACATATTTATTATTTAGAAATAAAATGAAACCAAACAGTCAAACACACCCAGAAAATACTGTACATTGAGTGTAACTTTCTGTTTTGCTTGCGATTCACTTCTGTGGGCAGACAAGCGACACGGCACCAGAAAAGTGAAATGGTCAAGCAGAGTGATGCATTTATAACACGTCCAGTGGGACACACTTGTTTATTGGAGCACCTCTTTGAGATGTAGGCTGTATTTTTACATAGAGTAATAATTTTGCCATGTCCGCCTTTAGCAGAGACTCTGTTTACACTGTTCGTGTTTAATTGGATTGGAAACAATGACATTGCTGCCATTTAACACAATTTCACAACAGAATTTAGCTTAATGCTGTCAGTTTTGACAAAATAGGGATCAGGATAGAGACAAGAGATGCTGAGAAATCACCCACAATTCATCAAACTGTTCCAGTATGGAGTGCACTTAAGGACAGGGTCAGGGTTGATTAGGATCAGTAAGAAGTATCTACATGCTGTGAACATACGTGAGCCTCACAGGGTTGCTTTTCATTTTTTGATGTGGACTGAGATCAGTGCTGCATGTGACCAGCTGCGTGGATTAGATCTATCAGCTGGTCCAGAGGGCTCCCTTGAAAAAGAGGCCGCTAGCCCCAGTGGGATTTTCACAGTGATTCACTGTGAAGACTTTGTGAAACTGTAAATTGTTCTGGGTAGAAAGCGGTCAAGTACAACACCAAACTATTTAAATCTAAAGCCAGTTAAGTGCTACATCTAGTTCAGCAGTTTCTCATGAACCAGGCGACTTTTCTGTCTCTGGTTATGGCCCCATAAAAATGAATGAAAAACGTTAGAGTGAGTTTCAGCTCATTGTTTAACTGCCTGGTCTTCAACTTTACTGGCACAGACCTCCAAGTATACACAAGCATTCATTATCCTCATAGTTCATTCATTTGTCCTTATACTTCCATTTGTACTTAGTGAGGGCAGGTTCCTGCTTGTGAACAGAACATAAAGGACAGTGAATATTAGGCTTACATTCACCAATGGACCACAGACTTGACCTACAGAATACTAATGTTGCTAAATAATAATAAATAAGTGTTTGCTAAACTCACAATATCAACTTAAAAAACATGATATTGCAGCTCATTTTATGTGAATGCTACCTGGCTAGCTGTCCTTTATATTCACCTCATCGCCCACAGTCAGTTGTCCGTTTGTTTATTCACTGTCACAGTTTTGATCCCCATTTGCCACAGCTCTGGTTTGCTTCACTCTGCTTTTTTCCTGGTTTCTGCCTGCTACTAGCCCTGGATGCCAGCTGCTCAGCTTCTTGTCATCCTGTCACCGTTTTGCCTGGTCTGTGGCTCACTCCACTCCCATGCTCTGAATTGTTTGTGCCTTCTCCAGTTTTCTCATCTGCTACAGTTAAGATATTATTATCTGCCATTCTCTGGATGTTATGTTGTGACTGAATAGCCTCTGACCTGTTGACCTCTTGTTCATTTGTTTATATATTTCCTACCTTAATGTGGAGATCTGTATTAGTCCAAAGATTCTTTGAATGTTGGTCTCCTGTTTGTTTGGTGTATACTTACTGCAGTGCAGTTCCTAGTTTCATTATTCTCTAGTTTTTGTTTATATCTGAACAGCACTCCGCTAGACTTTTGTTACCTCCACCAAGATTCAAGATTCTAAGATTCAAAGTGTTTATTTGTCATGTGAACAGTAAGGAACCGCGTTTCCCTGTACAATGAAATTCTTACTTTGTATTGTTTGGCATTCATTGCAGACAGCAAAGTGAAATATAAGGTAGATAAATAGTACACAAAATCTAAAGGCACTTAAAAACAGCTAGTGGAAACAAATATTATAAAGAATATAATAAAGAGAGAATGTATGCTGCATCGGAGCTGTAAGTGCAATAGGCGGCAGTGAGTGTGCAATTATGCATGTGCAAACTTGGAATGTAAACAGTACAGGTGTATTTACATGAAGTAAGTCCTGACTGTATAATCCTGTCAGCTGTTTAGGAGTCTGATGGCAGTTGGAAAGAAAGAGCTTTTCAGTCTAGAAGTTATGTTTCTGTTAAGGAGGTTATGTTTTTGTTTCTCGCTCTCTCTCTCTCTCTCT